CAGGGGTAGATGAGTAATGAGATACAAGGGCTTTGGGAACCTGCAAGTTTCCAGCGTAACTAATGAGTACTACCAACTGCATTCTGTCCAAGACATGGAAGGCAACTCCAAGTGGCCAACAGCTCTTAAAATGATCAGAGGAAGAGTGTTTCTGCCTCTTCCTGCAGTCTCTGCTTTGGGACATGTACATTTTATATAATCACAATTAAGGTCACTTACGGTGTTTCATTTTTGTTCAGTTTCATTAAAGATTATTATCACTAGAAAAGCTATACAATGTGATAAAACAAGTAAGGGCCTTGGAATTAACCTTTGGTTTAAGTCCCAGCTCTGCAACTTCCTTGTTACGTGACATTGGAAAGTCACAACCTTTCTGAGAGTCAGTTATCTCCCCTACACTGTTTTTCAAAGTTTGGGTTGCCCCTTCAGTGGGTTGTGAAATCAATTTAGTAGCTTGCAGATAACATTTTTTAAGTGAAAAAATAAAAGAAAGTATCAGATGACTATATGTAATAAGGACAAGTTCTATTTCATAAAAGAATGGTTTCAGATACATATAGATATTGATATACAGATATATATATAAATGTGTATAATGGATTGCAATATAAAGCATCTTTCTTACAGAGGATAATGGTCAAAAAAATCTGAAAGCCACTGACCTATAAAATGAGAGACTATCAGGTGTGTAATGTCATATTGGCTATTTTTCAGAGTATTTGGAAAAAAAAACAAATAATGTAGGCAAAATGCTAGCAATTAAGCCTATTAGAGTCAGAATATCTGAATACAATCTTATTTAAGAATACTGGGAAAATTCCTCTTTACTTCTCATCAGTATTTCTTTAAGTATATCATATAAATGAAACTGTCAGCCATCATCGTTTGCCAAGGATATGTCCTTCTAAATTATTGACACAGAAAGATGAGGTCTAATTAAGAACTGAATTTTAGCCTAAATTAATACAGAAAAGCAGCATGCAAAACCCTATCCAGACAAAGTGATGTAGTCAAAACAACAAAAGGCTCTTGTCAGACAAGCCCTCTCTGATGTGTAAAGAGCAGTGAACCCAATGTTAGCCCCAGAACTATTCTAAAAGAAATGTCATTCTGCTAGGACACCCAGAGCTGGCCACTAATATGCAAAAGCCTTGGCAAAGTCTCCAGTTTGGGAAGGACTCCAGTTAATGGTGGTGTCAAGTGGACTCTTGTTAAAACTTTCCAATTTCCTACCATTTGGGGGAAAAAAAACTAATTTGGGGGAAATCCAAATTTCTTACCACAGCTTACAAAGCTCCATGTGATAGGGTCCCATCCCACCTCTCCAACATCACCTCCTACCTGCACTCACTCCACATTAGCCACTTTCAGCTCCTCAGACACACCCAGCTCAATCGTATCTTACGAGCTCTTACATCTCTTGTTCTCACTGCACAGATCCCATTTCATTCAGCTCTTCATATGCTAGGATTCTTCTTGTCATCGTTTGGCTCTTAGCTTGTATATTTCAGTCCCTCAGAGAAGCATTCCTGACTATTTCCTCATTAAAGAAGTCCTCCATCTGACTACTCCAGCCCCAAGGCATTCTCCATCATCACATTACCCTATTTAATTTTCCTCATAGCATGGCTTCCTGTTTTATTTTACATTACTTTGTACACTTATTTTTTTTCCTTATCAGAGTGCAAGTTTCATAAGAATCTTTTCTGTTTTATTCTTAACTCTCCTTAGCACATAGAACAGTGCCATGTACATACATATATATAAATGATGCCATTCTATACATACTTATCTGCCAAATTAACAAACCAATGAAGAACACCAATACATCCATTCCAGTACACTCTATGTAACTGCATTTTCAAAATAACATGAGAAGGAATTTACATACATGGGAATATCTGTGAACTGAGTTCAACAAGGGGCTGTTCAGCTAAAGAGCTATACAAAAGGTTCAAGTTACTAATGTGCCAAGCTTTCCTCTGAATATCAACACATGAACCATTACCTATCATAGGGCTAATAGCTCCTGATACCTAATGCAAGAATATCTGATTTGGAATCAATGCTTAGGCTAAATCTCCTGCTTCCAAACCCACTGATCATCACCTCACTGTGCAGTTTGCATAATGGATCTGGAGCCAAAAGAGACAAGGGTTTAAATCCTAATTATATCTTCTACATGCTGTGAGGCCTTAAACAAGTTTCCTCATCTATTAAATGAAGCTAACAGTACTTTATCTTATAGGGCTGTTTTGAAAATTAAATTATATATATATAACATCTCTCACAACAAAAATCCAATAAAATTGGTTATTATTCTATTATTATTCATTATTTCACCTTTTTTCCAACTAACTTTTACCTATGTCTACTTTGTTATAGGTCTCAGGCACAATTCAAGAAGAACTGACTACAGTCTCTATCCAGGAAGAGCTCACAGTGTAATAGGAAAGATAAACCCATAAAAAATAAGTATGAAAGAATCGTGTATTAAGTCTCATCCAAGAAGGATTAAAAGAATCTGCTCTTCTCGAGCAAACCTGATGTTAGGGCCTACTTAGTCTCTATTGGTGAAAGGCACACCCAAACCCTTTCAACTTATAAAATGGAATAGCTTCTAAGATGGGTCAGAACAACTCCATAAAGAAACCCTCAAAAGACTGTAAGAAGAATGATTTTCCCAATAGCCAAAAGTGCAAGCAACTCAGGTGAAAGGATATATACATATACACAAAGAAGTGGTATTCAGCCTTAAAAAGTAAGGAAATTCTGACACATGCCATTATTGTGGATGACCCTAGAGGATAGTAAGCTAAGTGAAGTAAGCCTGTCACAGAAAGAGAAATATTGTATGATTCTACATTTATGAGGTACCTTGAATAGTCAAATTTGTAGAGACAGAAAGTAGAATGGTGATTGCCAGGGGCTGGGGGGAGGGAGGAATAAGAAAGTGTTAGGTACACAGTTTCAGTTTGGGGAAAACATGAAAAAGTTCCAGAGAGGTGGTGGGGATGACTGTACAACAATGTAAACATACTTAATGCTAAAGAGCTGTACACTTAAAAATGGTTAAAATGGATTCATGCACCCCAAAGTTCATAGCAGTACCATTTGCAACAGCCAAGACATGGAAGCAATCTAAATGTTCATTGACAGATAAATGGATAAAAAAAGATGTGGTATCTATATTCAATGGAATATTACTTGGCCATAAAAAAGAATGAAATAACACCTTTACAGCAACATGGGTAGACCTAGAGATTGTCTGACTTACTTCACTTAGTATGATAAAGACAAGTATTGTATGATGTAATTTATCTGTAGAATCTTTCAGAATGACACAAATGAACTTACAAAACAGAAAAAGACTCAGACAGAAAATAAACTTACGGTTGCTAAAGGGAAAAGGTGGGAGAAGGAATAAATTAGGAAGTTCGAGATTAGCAGATACACACTATATAAAACAGATAAAACAACAAGGTCCTACTGTGTGGCATAGGAAACTATAGTCAATACTTTGTAATAAAATGTATAATGAAAATGAATATGAAAAATATATGAGTGTGTATATATATACATATACATACATATAGCTGAATCACTTTGCTGTATACCAGAAACCAATACAACATTGTAAATCAACTGTATTTCAATTAAAAAAATAGTTAAAATGGAAAATTTGTTATGTATATTTTACCACAATTAAAAAAAAAAGGAATGATTGTTCTGTAGCTTACAAAAAGAGAGAGGGAGTGTATCCCTTCTTCTCTGACTTTGATCATTGTTTTATCTGGTAGCCAATCAACCTAGCTTCTCCAGGTTAAGATAGGAAAAGAATTCCTGGGCAGTCTCTATACATAGGATGCTGTGTAACATCTAAAAAATCACAAGTACTTAAATATCCAAACCAAGAATTTACAGCAAAATAGACAGATGCTATAAACTCACCATGGGTTTATTTCCATAAGTGTATAAGAGAGGCGGAAAATAAACCAAAGTATTTGTAGTCTAAATACCAGTTTAGGGTTATATAAACTAATTCTTAAAGAGACAAGAAAGTCCCTGGAAAAAAAAAATTGGTCCACATAGAGTAGGTTTCATATATCCAAGGCCCCATAATACAACTTTATTGCTTCAAATTTTAAAAAACAGTGTTAACTTGTATTAAACAAAGCAACTTTTCATATTAAACAAAAATGTCACAACTGACAGCCCAAATAATGACCTGGTTTCCTAGCGGCCCAGAAAGATGAGAAATAAATCCCAAGGACCTTAGTTTAGACAGACTAGAGAGAGTAGACTGTGGCTGTCTTGCATAATTAAAGGCTATGTCACAGTTCAGTGTGGTCTAAGCCTTGGTAGCTTCCCCTTAGTAGTCTCCTATGTGACTAAGAACCGGGATCATAGTAACAGCCTCACAAAGGGGATAATAAAAGATAAAGCTTTTTCCTAGCCTCTTCAAAGACTCCAGAACCAAATCTTAACTTCTCTGCTGTCCATCCATCCAATTTTCATTAAGTGCAATTTATATCATCTAGGAAGCTTCAAAGTCCAATGCCATCTTTATTTTTACCTTATCAAATCCATAAAATCAGGGCCAGGGTGTGGTCTGGACATGAGCTTTGGTTAAGATCACAAAAATTCTCAAATCAAATAATTGGTGTAAGTCAGAGCAAAGTTCATCAACAATAAGATGACAGAATTCAGGCAAAGTCGGCTTTCTTCTTGCATTTCAGAAAGACCAGCATTGCTCCTGACACCAGTACATAGGTATAAGCAACTTCTGGGTGGGTAATGCCACCAAACAAAAGCAACACCTTCAAAGTCTCTCTCGGTGACTAGAGGCAGTCAGACACTCAAACTGCCAGTCCTGAATTACGGCCTCTGAATGGTGAGGGCTTCACATTTCACTGATCAGGGCACAGCCCAATCAGAAGACAAACCCCTGCACTGCCAGGGACCAGCAAATCCGCTTTCTTCCAGTGTGCACATGACTGAATGTGCTTCTGTCCATCATCTGGGTCATATATAGTTCAATGCGAGCTGAGCAGACAGGGCTGCAAGGAAATCTGGCGCGGTTCAATACCTCGTCTAGCCTGGGTTCCAGTATCTAATTTTTTTTACTGACAAACTCATTTCTCTACCGGGACAGGATGCTGTGCTGGCTGGAAGTTCCATTTCTACAGCAAGAATCCTATCTGGAAACACAGAAGTTGTCCTCTAAGCCACAGCAGCTCGAACTTTTTTGATTGTTGTTGCTGCTTTCTCCCATCACCCCCACCCCCTTTTGACAAAGATCCAACTGTAAAAAGTCTTACGTAACAGTTCAGGACTACTTCGGTTCTTTTACTGGGTAAGCACTTTCAATTTTTTTTTAAAAAACTAAAAACCATTTTAACATTGAATCTGTTGAGAGGCTTGACTAAAATCTTTTAAGTAATTTGTGTGGTGAAATACTGTCAGTGGATTTTTTAGTCTCATTTCTGCACGTGCTCCTTTGTTCTCAGAACAGAAGCTTTTTATACACACCCCATAACGCAGCTGGAGAGAGTTATGAAGTCAGTTATTATAAGGAACACAAAGGTTGCTTTGCATTCTTTGCCTTTGGATAATTTTGTATTTGTTTTCTTAAAATGAAGTATTAAAGAAGGAAGAAATTAAATAAACAAAAGAATAAACTGTTGGAGAATCTAGCAAAGTTTGAAGTTTTTACTACCTTTTCTATCTGTAGTTTTGTGTGGCCAAACACTTGTGCCGCCTGGGGCGGTGGGGGTAGAGGCAAGCGTAGACAGAGAGGAACTAAGCCAGACATGGACAAAGGCATGAGCCAAAACCAGACAGTCCTGGCCGTTCGATAGGCCAGCAGTGGGTGAGACAGGTCAGCCAGCTGCAGGGGCGGGAGAGGAGGGGAAAGGGGCATGGATGTGTGAGGTGCTCATGCGTGCGATCGTGACTAGATTCTGAAACTGCCAGCCATTTTCCCAGCTATGCTTTGTGCAATCTAAAGGAATGCATCTCCTCTGAAGCAGTCTTGCCAGAGCCCAGTGATAACGAGGAGTGTGATAAATACCACAACATATGGAATCAGAAATTACTGGGATCTGGGGTGGACAAGAGGGAATGCAGAGGGTGTGGAAATTTTTTAGTGATCTGGAATGTGTTGAGTGACAGGAAGTGCCCCAAGCTCTCCCCCCTCCTCAACTCTTCTCAGTCGCGCCTGCTTTTGTCTAACTCTTGTAATCTACACACTACTGCTTACAAAGCTGTCTGAGTTTAAGACAAAAAGAAACATAAAAGGCTCTCCATTCCATACTACCTGCGATATGGAAGGAATGTAAAATGCATGGCCCTTTAAGCCTGTGGACATTTTTTCAGGTATACAGGAGAAAGATAATGTAACAATTTTCCAAGGATAGATGAGAATTATGAATTATAGTCCAACTTCCAAATATAATTTTAAAAATCCTGATTCTGCTATACTTACAAATGCTTAAGGTGGTTCCTAATCTGAAGGAGACTTGTTTGTTTCGTTAGTATATTGCATTTGAAGTTGTTTCTTTTTTCTCTGTATAAATTTGGACTTTGGGAGAAAAAAAATGCAAAGTAGAATGCATTGGGGGGAAAAAGGAGATATTCCCTTCAATGGTAGGAAAGCGTTTTAAAAAGGTTGGTTTCTTGGAAAAAGCAGCTCGTTCTCTCTCGCTCTCTGCTCTCTCTCTCATTTTTGCATGTATGCTATAAAGATAACTTTATGCCATTATAAATGTAAAGTACAAAACTTTTGACAGAAAATAATAGTGTTCCAAGTGAAAAACAACTTAGCATTTTCCCAAACTTCCATATTATCAACAGAAACACTAAAACTTGAGAGAAAAGTAGCTTAATAGTTGAATGGCTAACTCTACTTTTGTAAGATGAAATGGAAAATTAAGTGTGAATAAAATGATACTGGGGAATATTTCTACCTCCTACCACAAAGGATGTTAGTGGTCAGTCTAGGAGTTAATCTTTCCTAGTGTGGCTCTGAGCCTTCATGCCGAGCAGACGTTATTCACATGACGATCCGAAAAGTCCATTCATATATCTCACTACCTGGATTTGAATAGAAACCAGACAGCAATTCTTTAGTTCCAGCCACCATTCGCCCCTCTGGACAATAGCGATTTGTTAGCACAGAGTCACAGGCTGTGGGACACAAAGCTTGGAGCTGCAGAAAGATGGGGGATTCAGAGAACAGGAAATTACAGGCCCAATGCACTCCTGGCAGCTCTGGGAATACAAAAAAAAAAAAAAAAAAAAAAGGCAACACAGCGATGCCATGTTTAAGAGCTACTTCTAGCTTTTTTAACCACCTCCAATGTCATAAAAGCTCTATTGTTGGAGTACATAAAGTCACGAGTCCCATGTGCTCTCTTTTCTCACTACAGGGAACTTCATTCAATGCCCTGGCACAGTCGAAAAAATCAAAAGCACCCAGAGTTGATTAGTTGTGAGCTCTGATAGAAAGGAGAGGAGCATCGTACAAATAAAATGTCAGAGAAAAAATATGCTACTTATAACACATAATAAAGTTAATATATATTACAAATTATTTCATAAGACAATCAAAATGAAACCAAATCAAGAGTCCAGGTAAACAAATTTTTCTTCAAAATATCATATAAAATCTATTACTTAATTCCATCAAAAGTTTCCTCAGAAGATACATATCAATTTAAAAACTAATCTTACACAGAACATTTCTGAGTTCTGGATTGTATTTTCCAAAACAAAGAACTAAAATCAAAGCCCTGAGGACTTATTTTGAAATACTAGAAAGGAAAACTACACTTTCTTTTGTTGGTAATCAAATTATTATAGCTCCTTGGCTAAATTTAGAAGTTGCCTCTACTTCCCTCTATTTAGATCTAAAAAATGAGATTAACGGACATTCTAGGTGAGAGGAGAGGGATAATTCTCCTGTCCAGGCCCTCATGCTGCAGCCTGAGCACCAATGGGCCAGAACGTATCCATTTCAACAAGAGGAGACCCTACGCATAACTTGTAAATGGTTTTGTTCTTCTGTCTTTCTTCTGTGATCAATTAGCAAACACAAATCCCAAGATATCGTACCTGAAATATTCATCAAATGAGATCATGAATGATCAAAAAGTACTTTGGAAATATGAACTGTTCTACACTATTTGGTCCTATGGCTTTAAGATAATAAACACATGCCAAATTTTATGTTGCTCGAAAACAAATCAGCAACTTTTAAACTACTAATTATTGGATTTCCTCAAATTCTATCATTACTCATCAAACATAAGCATCAATTACTACCTCAAACTGTGCTACAGTCATGTGGCAACATGACTATAAACTTGTGGCTATTTTTACTTGAATTTAAATCAATCAAAATTAAATAAAATTTAAAATTCAGTTCCTCAGTCCCAAGTGCTACATTTCAAGCCCTCAATAGCCCCATGCGTCTCGTGACTATCATACTGGACAGCGCAGACATAGGGCATTTCCATCACTGCAGAGAGTCCTAATGGACAGCATTGATCACAACCATGCTAATATATAGAATACCTGTCTTCAACTATATATCCACCTGGACATAAAAGAAATTAACTTCTAAGCAAAAAACACAGTGACAAGATGACAAGGCAGCTAGCACCATGATATTTGAGAGGTGTCTAAAAAAAAGCATTTTGAAAGAAAAGGTTTCATTTTTTTCTTGGTCTGTAATAAAGAAATTATGAAAAATATTAAGACAGTAGTGGCAAATAGGTAGCAGGGGCCAGAGAAATTAAAATGCTTCAGAATGGTATTCGGAATCAAAAAAAAATTCTTCCTAAACATATGAATCAACTAAATGTAGGGTCTCCACAGAATTGCTGCCATGAATAATATAGAATAACAGAAAGGAAGAACCTTGAAGTCAGTCAGACCTGGGTTTGATTATCAGCATGCACTTTACGTAAATGATGAATATTACACCAACTAACTCACCTTTCTGATATTTAGTATCCTTATCTACAGAATGGGGAAATATCCACTCTGCAGGATACATGAAAAGACTCCAATAAAGTATATAAAGTACCTGGTAAGGTCCCAGGGCAGATAGTAGAGATTCTTTTTAAAAGGATAGCTATTATTTATTATATTTTCCCCTTAAATCTTCATAATGTGACTCCTTAGAGACAGATAACATTCAACACACAAGGTAAGCCTTCATGAACAAGCATCCTAAAATACTAATGCTGCCCATGTCAGTAATTCAACTGGAATAAAATGGAAGTATTTGCCAGAAGAATCTCATGCCAGACTTGGCTCAAATAACCAGTAGAGTCTCTCTGTGTTTAGAGTCTTAAATTTACAGATCTAGGATTAGGTTTTACATAGAAGGACTATGTTCTATAGCTAAAAAGTAAACTCTACCAAGGGATGCATGCACATTGTTAAGTGAATACAAAGTAATGATTTCTAAATACTGGGAACCTGACGCCTGTTTCAGAAAACGGAAATGGCTATCTTAGAAATGCAATGATAAGACGACTTACTCTTCCTTGTTGAGGTGACTGAAGCACACAGAAACACTATAGATAGAAACTTTTTTAATGTACTAAAGCTTTTTTCCCAAGGAACATTTAAATAACCTAGATTATAATAATAGTAGTAATGAACTGGCAAAACATCAAATGCCTTATGGCCTTCAATTACTGTGAACTTTGTTTATGGTCAAGACCAGATGCAATTAAGTGGTGCCTCCCTCCTCAAGGCTTTAGTGGTTAAAAAAAAACACCAAAAAACAAAACCCAAGTGACTTCTATCATGACTACATGTCTTAACCTCCTAATCTACCATCAAATAAATCAGACACAATAAACATGAATATGAGGTTGTTCAATTTTGATGCCATTCTCAACCCATCCTATGCCTGCTAGGTGCGGGAAACCAGGTCTTAGGGTCAAGTAGACATGAGCTGGAATCCTGGCTCTGCCACTTATTTACTGTATGATCTTGAATAAGTCACTTCCTCTCTTTGTCTCAGACTCTTCATGCATAAAATACGAATATTAATGCCTTCCTGCCAGTTGTTTTAAGGTTCAAGGATCATATATATAAAAGATCTCTAACTGCTCCTGGCACAGTGGAAAACATTCTGGAAATGTCAATTCTGTGAAAACATAATAAGGGCTTGAGGTTCAATTCATTGTCTGAGACTCTTCCCAAATACAGAGAATGTAAATAGAAGGGTTCCAGGCTGATTTATAGTACAGGTCATTCTCTATTTAAATTTTAATTAAGGCAAACATATGAAAGTAAAAGTTGTCAACACCGCACAAAAAATTTCACAAAGTCTTA